TATCTTGTTTTTATTTTGGGAAATTTCAAATTTCTTATTTGTTGTTCATATGATTAAATGTGTTAATTAGCAGCTTATAATATATTTAAATGAAATACATAAACATACCTGTTAACTTAAAATAAATGCATACCTATACAAACACAATGTGAACGTATTTCTATGTATTAGAAGCAGATGAAATTCGTATTTGCATGTCCATCGCATTTGTTAGTGAAGCCAGATGAATATTGGCTATAGGTAATATATTTTGAATGATTCTTGCAAAGAACCGTCATTAAATGAAACATGTGCTTGCAATAAATTATACATTTTATAGAATTCATATATTTACTATTAAAATAAAAAACATTAATGTCAATAGATATACTTTGTTACTTCCTTATATTTACAATATATATTCGTATATAACGCACTTGCAAATCCTTTTTTTCTGGGCACTTGGGTAAAAAATTATTGAGAACATTGAAAAAATAATCATAGTAATAAATCAAATTGATAAGTTTTTTTATTTGAAAAGTCTTCAATTCAAGGGTTGTTTTTTATCAAAAGGTTGCGCTTACATTTTAAAAATGAGTGGAAGGTTTTTCTTATGAAACCATTCTAAGCCAGTTGAAGGAAATTTGATCAAACGAACAAAATACAATGATAAAACTAATAAGAGCTGCTAATAGTTGTTCACAATCCTAAAACAAAGTATTTTTGGTTAATCTCAGCTCAAGATAACACAATCCTCGCATTTCTCCTGAAATTAATAAGCCAAATACTTTAATTTTGGGGTTCATTCCCGAAGAGAAACTTTAAAACACCTTAATGACTAATATTGTAAATGATATTAAAATGAAAAAAAAAAAAAAAAAAACAAAATTAGTTTGGACGATAGGAGACGTATGTGAGCTGTTATAACCGTATCCAAACTCGATTAAAGTCAACAAGGGAATAATCTCTTTTCGTTGGTAACTTCATAGACGACTATTTTGCATTGGCAATCGCTCTTATGAGCTCTCGTCTTTCTGCTCTTCTTCAAGGCATTCAATTACAATGTTTCGAGTCCTAATATACGACTTTGTCGACATTGTAGGTAACGAAAATAATGAGAGCCATGCGCTCCGTTTCGGTTAGGACATTCATGTCGCTGCATGATTGCGAAACAATGAAGTGAATGTCAGTAGGCATGAATGCGTCCATCTCAGAAAATACAAGAGCGAGAGAATTGTAATTTTTTTAAAAAGCTCGTAAAAATGGAGGTTGTTAAAAAACAAAAATGTAATTTAATGTCAGATGCAAATATAGCTATTAAATGAATGAGTTGATTTTATAAAGCGTGATGAAATTATAACTTCATGCCCATAAGGGGCATGGCAAATCGAATCTGAATATTAAATTTTTTTTTTTTTCAAATTCTTATATTTATTGAGCACTATTGATGTTAGAGATCAGTTACGGTAACTGATCAAAAGGGCATAGTGGATATATCTACGCCCACAAGGGGCATTGCAAATCGCAGAAGCTTATATCTCATACTGTTTTAGAGCTAGAAGTTTCAAACTTACAAAATTAATATGCAATTCAATATTAACTAAAAAAGTTTTCTTACTTTATTAAAAATTAACGAGAAGAAAAAATATATTGATTGCTTACAATTATTTAATTTGTGCCAAGATTTGATTTTTGAATTAGAGCGGGAGAAATTATCTCGATTGGACTGTATACCCTTTCGATAAGAATCTGTATCGATATTGCGTTCTCTGATTTAGTAAATGTATCGTAAATGTATCGTTCTCTAATTTAGTAAATGTATCGTGCTTAGATTGATACACTGACCAGAGATACTAACACTAACCAAATAACGCACTTTTGTCGTGCCTTATTTTCACAGCTTGAGCGTCAAAAGACCGAGCCGAGCAAACACGAATTTGTCTGGTCTCTTCAAAACATTTTCCGTAGTTGTAAAAATTGTACTATATGTCTAGTCTATGTGTTCTCTGATAAGTGGTGATACTGATTAACTTACAAAAAAGTTAGTGTGGAACATGAATGTCTTTCAGAAATATTAATATTATATATACATATATAGGGACTATCACTTTGTGAGTTATCATCAGGGCTGCATAAATGTCAACTTTTTTTTTATCGAATAAATTAATTCTGGTGTGTTAAGTTTATAAAAAATAAAAATGCATAGAGGAAATAAGTCGCAAGGACGTTCGGGAAAAAACTGTTCTCGTCCGCCAGGACTAAAAGGTAGAGATATTGGCATGTACTACAGAAATCTTGCTCGACAACGTAAGAACTCAGACACCAAATATGAGCCCAAAATCAATTTGAGCTGCGATGTAAGCGTTCCGCCTGGCGTTATTGAGCGTGTGAATGAATACATGGATCAGTTTAAGGTAGCCCGGGAAGCTAGGAATAAGCATTTGGATGAGGATTTCCAGCAGAAATTTCACCACATGTTAAGTATGAATTTCGATGGCTTCATAGAAGAGACAAAAAAGCAGAACCAAGATTTGAATTTAAAAAACAGAAGCCTAGACGCCCACCTTCTGGACAAACAAAAGGAACTCTTTCAAAATGTGGACTTTCGAGCGCGTTACGAAGATCGTATGAAATTGCCAACAATGGGTCACGCAGCAGAAATCATCAACGCAGTGGACAAGAATCAAGTTTTGTTAATCGTGGGCAGCACCGGCTGTGGTAAAACAACACAGGTGCCGCAGCTTCTGTTAGACGATTGTATAGCAAAGGGAATAGGATCTACTTGCCGCATCGTGTGCACGCAGCCTCGTCGAATCTCAGCAATAACAGTGGCCGAGCGCGTTAGTTATGAGCGAGTGGAAACAATTGGACATTCTGTGGGTTACCAGATACGCCTGGAAAGCCGGAAGCCTCGCGAACGTGCCTCTATAACGTACTGCACCACAGGCGTGCTCTTGCAGCAGCTTCAATCTGATCCGCTGTTGCGCAGCGTGAGTGTTCTTCTCCTGGACGAGATACACGAGCGAAGCATTGAGACAGATTTGCTTATGGCATTGCTCAAAATTATACTGCCACATCGGCCCACCTTGAAAGTTATATTAATGAGTGCAACTGTGCGGGAGGAAGATTTCTGTAACTACTTTAATAGATGCCCAATGTTTCGCATAGAAGGGGTTATGCATCCGGTCGAAGTTTTTTACCTGGAGGATGTACTCGCTATGACAGGCTATCAATTTGACTGCCGGAGCAATAAACGGTCCCGTCCCCGGCTGGATCAGTCAGACCACAGAATCATGATCGAGCCTTATATACGCCAGGTGCGCGACAAGTACGATAGCAAAGTGCTTGAGCAGCTGCGAGTACCCCATTCCGAAGGTTGCGAGGACATCGAGTTCATTGCGAGTCTCATCTATTATATATGTAACAATAAATCAGACGGTGCTATATTGGTTTTTGTACCTGGATTCAGTAAGATATCACAGTTACATAACACACTAAAAAACCCACGTTCACCCTTGGGACAGCGCTGGCGCAATCATTTACTTATCTTTCCATTGCATGCAATGCTGCCCTCGGTGGAGCAACAGTCCGTGTTCAGGCCAGCCCCCAAAGGCAAACGAAAAGTAATCATATCTACCATCATTGCCGAAACTTCAGTAACCATTGATGATGTTGTTTACGTCATTAATACGGGACGAACTAAAGTAACTGACTATGACATTGAGACAAACATACAATCTCTTGAGGAGTGCTGGGTGACGCATGCAAACACGCAGCAGCGCAAGGGGCGTGCGGGTCGTGTTCAGCCAGGCGTCTGTTACAATCTGTTTAGTCGGGCACGAGAGGCTCTGATGTCAGAAGTGCCAACTCCAGAAATATTGCGTTGCAAACTGGAAGCGATCATACTTAGTCTCAAAGTACTTCACATCGATGATCCTTACGCATTGTTTGAAACAATGATCGATCCGCCTGTTCAGAGAACCGTGAGCACAGCCATTAATCTACTTAAGCGGTAAGTAGTTTTGATTCTTTATCAGCGATTATTAATTTGTATCGGCTCCAACCAGGATAGAAGCGCTTGACATTGATGGTAAGCTCACACCGCTGGGCATGCATCTGGCGAAGCTTCCAATTGATCCGCAAGTGGGTAAAATGATTCTGATATCAGCGCTTTTCCGTTGTGTGGATCCCATTACATCTGTCGCAGCTGCACTCTCCTATAAAAATCCGTTCTATACGCCCTTGGGTCAGGAGCAGCGGGTCGACCAGGCTAAGCGTAGGATGGCCCAAGGGATGCACAGCGATCATCTAATGATACATAACACAATTTGCAACTACCGCGAAAGCGTAGAGAACCATAGAGATCGCGACTTTTGCTACAACAACTTTCTCAGTCACATGACACTTCAGCAGCTAGAACGTATGAAGTCTCAATTTTCCGAGCTCCTCAGTAACTATAAGTGAGTACTATTATAAGTGAAGATCATAAAAATAAGTAACCCGGGTGTATTAATGCAGTAAGAGCCAATAAGAGCCATCACGTTTCTAATAGTAATGTATTAATAGTATGTATTCATATAATCTCAATCGATTTTTTTTTAGAATTATAGATAAGTTCAAGTTCAGAACGCTTGAAGCAATTATGTGGGGAAACAAAATACTTATATTTTGCGAATTCCTTATTACACTCAATTCATAAAAGTAATAAACTTTGCTTATAGGTTCCTAAATTCAACGAACTGTTTGGACCATTCATCTAACATTAATTCTGGGAAAATTCCCCTGCTTCGTGCAATAATTGGAGGCGGTCTCTATCCCAATATGGCTCATTTGCGGTAAACTGTATTTAAAGACTACTGCTTAAAATAATGAATATATAATTTCAATTTTCCAAATAGTAAAGCACGACAAATAAAAAATCGTGTTCGCGCGATTCATAACATGACGACCGACGATGGGCGTCGAGTAAATTTTCACCCCTCATCAGTAAACAGCGGCGAGACAGGATTTGACTCAAACTACTTTGTGTACTATCAGCGGCAGAAGTCAACGGATCTCTATCTGCTCGACGCTACAATGGTGTTCCCGATGGCACTTATTATTTTTGGCGATGGCGTCGAGACTGGTGTCGTAGATAATAGACATTATCTGTCCGTAGCTCAGACCTACTAGTAAGCTTATGGTGAAATGTCACATTATGGATTCGTTTCTTACGATCTCTGTTTCTCTTTGTTTAGTTTTAAATGCAGTCCAGAAACGGTTTCGGTAGTGCTGAATTTGCGTTCAAGTTTGCAACTCTTGTTGCTTGAGAAAGCCTTGCATCCAGCGCCAATTGAGCAAAACAGCGATGCTGATCAACTAATCAAGTAAGTGTTACTTGAAAATAAAAAAAGATCATCATAAGATCAATATAATAGAGAATATATCAACTCTTAAATATTTTACGTTGCTCTTAACCAACCAGTATTCTGTTTTATAAATATATAATTATTCTATATAATTCATTCTTTTTATAGATCCATTGAGCTTCTGCTTTCAATTGATGATAAAATGGGTGACGACTATGAAATCATGTCGGATGAGATTGACAACATTTAAATGAATTATTGTCGAACATAGGGGAATTCTGATGTGATCAAATGTATACTATTGACTTGAAGTTATTCAATCAACTTATGTTACCAAAATAGATATGTTTCTCTATCCAAAATTTTATAAATTAAATATTTCAGACATTGTTATCGCTTAAACCTAATTAATTATCGTCAAGTAGACGAAATGCGTTGCGTGAGCGTAATATCTGATCACCGCAATCATCGTCATCTGCGTTGGTTTCGTCGTTAGAGCTGTTTTCGTCATAGCTATCTCCACCTGTAATAAAAGAGTGAATAAAACCATTCATCTAGTATTGTGCTTAACTCACTCTCCGAGCAGATGGATGAGGTATCTTCATTAGTTTCGCTGTCAGGCTCATAATTATAAGCTTGATGATATTTTTTAACCTCGGCCAGATCAGGGTGCTCACTCCAGCTTTTGCGGTTATCATCATAGCCAGGAGGATAAAGCTGAAATATTAACTGCTGCTGTCCGGATAGACACATACGTAAAATGTGATTAGCGGCACGATAACGATCAGGGCGAGCTGCCTTGGCGGTCAAAAATCCCCGTTTATACGCCCAGGCATCTGCGATAGCAACAGCAGACCACTCGTCATATTCTTCTGGCAGATGTAAACGCAGGAGCTGCGGTAGATTTACGTGCTCAGCCAGCAACTTGAGCGAACGATAAGGCACTTGCAGCTGGGAGATGGGAAAGCTGCCAAGCAGCACTTGCAAGCTCTTTGGCGTGCTAGAAGGAAAGACAAGGCCTGGACAGTCGCACACACGTACGTTCGGCACCAGGAATATGGTTTGGAAATGTTTGGTGTGACCTGGTGTACGGCTAACACTGACAACTTTACGCCCTTTTAGGGCATTGATCAGTGATGATTTGCCCACATTTGGAAAGCCGATGCATCCAATGGTCAAGACGCCGCTGTTGTATTTCACATGATGATGCGGTGTAGTTTCGGTGACATTACTAATTCTCAATTCTTCTTGGTTATTCGTGGTTGTTTCGTCATTGTTCAATTCGTCGGTGCACATATCATCACGAATCTTTTGCTGCCATGCTGAGAGATCTACATCGCTTTCAACAATTTTTTGACACTCGCGATAAATATTATGCACTCCCTCCATACTTGACCGATGAGCATTTTGGTAGCGACTACGTTGAGCGCCTTTTTGGCTACGCACTGAATACGATGCGAACAGCACAATCGGAAGCTCTGGGTATCGCTCATTGAAATAGTGTCGCCAGGCAACAACCGCCTCTGCTGCGACTAGATCCACTTTATTAAAGATGACAATCGCTTGTTTCTTTATCGTGTGAATAATATAATCATATAAAGATGGCGGAAACATTAACGACGCATAGCGAACGTCCACAATGATTAGTAAAATATCCGAGAACTCAAGTACACGCCAAAGCTGACGCCACGTTTCCAAGTTTAGCTCGAAAAGGGAATGCTCCTTAAGATTGTTGCGCTCCTTTTTTTGTAGCAATTCATCAATATACTCCTGAAAGATCATTATAGCTTTATCAATTTTATAAAATTTACCAATTAACATACCTTGAAATATCTATTTTCATTGCGGTCCAATTGTTCTTTGGTTTGATTAAATGTCCAAGATGGACGCACTGGAAAATCATATGTCTCAAAATACCGCTCATCGATCTCCCTTTGAGTGGGCGTTAGGACATCCAGTGGACGAAAGCCCTCCTGCTTCAATATCTCTATCTCCTTTTTGCTTTCTTGTATGAATTGAAGATTATAACGGTTTACATTCTTGTTTCGACCACCGCGTGTTAAAGGTTGCTCCATGAGCTTCTTATCAACTGTTCTCTCTTGTGCATCGCTGTCTTCGTTCGATTCTTGAGTGCTTCGCAAGTACTTAGGTTGACCTATTGGTCTTGTTATTTTTGCAATTGTTTTGCACAAATACAATAACTTACCTTTTAAAGAACGTTTTTGTAGTATCTGATCCTTCTTCTTTTTTCCGCTAAAAGCAACTTTTCGTCTTTGTTGCGGCATATTTCAATATTCGTGAACCAAATTGATTTCTTCAAATTTTTAATTGCTCCTTGGTGTTGCAGCTGACGCAAAAATAACACAAGTTAACGCAAAAAAGAGCCTTATGGCGCATCAATTGACTCACTTATAAGTTATAACTTGTTCACAGTATAACATTGTTAATTTGAAACTTATTGCGTATTTTCATATTGAAAAACAAATGCTTGTTTATGTGACTGTCATCTACATGTATTTATGGGGATTGCAGTTCATTTTGCCATACCGCTGGCATACACATTTGCAATTAAATTCTTTCAACCGGCTTAGGCAATCCTGACGAGAATGTTTTCAATTAACAGTGGACAACAGCTGACTCAATATATACATACATACATACTTGTGTGTGTATGTTGTATGTTAGCACTCTCCATGTTACACGGTTAGTGATGTTGGATATAAACAATTTTTATTTTTTTTTTACTAAGAGGAAACTGTAAATATTTTTACTCGTAGTCCATTGTAAATACTCCATTTTGCGATAGCTAACTGAATATTTTATATTAAATAAAAATGATTTATATACATATAGTGAACTGAAGCTCATTTTATTTTTGAAAATTCATTATATCATTCAAGAAATTTTATATAGGAAATGTCTATCCATCTTTAACTTTGAGTAGCATCCCAAATTTCTATATTTCTTAAAATGATTATATGAATACAAAATCGTGGTATTTTAATGCTACATGTATGTATGTATGTTATGCTACTGTTAAAGAACACTGATGATAAGTACCTTTGTGTTAGCACTGACGATCTTAGTACTGTTCAAAGTACATTGTATAGTGGGCAGTGAAAGGCTCTTCAAATGCCGTTAGGGGGTGTAAAGGTTTTAGAGTTTGTGGGACTAGCTCCTGGGCCATTGTGTGGCAAAATACTCGCAGATTTCGGTGCAAGCGTAACCCGCATAGACAAGGTAGAGATTTATTGAAATATGATTGCAGTTGGTATACACTTACAATATTGTTTTAGGTACTGGATAATTCCATGGATGTGCTGCACCATGGTAAGCGCACTGTAGTCGTTGACCTAAAAAAGGCGGCAGGTCAACAGATTGTCCAACAGCTTGCTCGAAAATACGACGTTATAGTTGAACCATTTCGGCCCGGAGTCATGGAGAAGCTCAATTTGGGCCCTGATTTATTGTGCTCCGCCAACCCGCGTTTAATTTATGCACGTCTCACAGGATTTGGACAACATGGTCGACTTGCGCCACGTGCTGGACATGATCTGAACTATGCAGCCGTATCTGGGGTGCTTTCCATGCTGGGCCGCAAGCATGAGAAACCAACGGCACCTATCAATCTTTTAGCGGATTTTGCTGGTGGAAGCGTTATGTGTGCATTGGGAATATGTTTAGCATTGTTGGAACGTCATAAGTCTGGAAAAGGTCAGGTTGTGGATGCAGCAATGGTTGATGGTGCTGCATATGTCGCTAGCTGGTTATTTATGTCCAGGAAGCTCGATATTTGGGGTCAAGGGCAACAGCGTGGAACGAATCTGCTTGATGGCGGCGTCTATTTCTACGACACTTACGAAACAAAAGATGGCCTTTTTATGTCGGTGGCCGCATTAGAGCCGCAATTTTTTAGTTTAATTAAGGAACGATTAAATTTGCCCCAAGAATTGTCGCAATATGGGGAAGAACATCAAGTCCAAGGTAGACAGTTATTAACGGATATATTCCTTACAAAAACGCAAGCCGAATGGTCAGAAATATTCGAAGATGTAGATGCTTGTGTCTATCCTGTAGTGGATTGGCAGAAAGTCCAGAATCATGACCATAACGCTGCCCGTCAATCTTTTGGACGAGTTGACGACAATTGGGCGCCCCGTCCGGCTCCTCGTTTATGTCGGACGCCTGGTAAACTACGCTCGAGTACACAATTTGATGTAAAGAGTTTCCTTGATGAGCTGGACATCAAACCTGAGAAACTGCGCCAACTGCAGGAGGAGGCAGTATTGATATTGCCGAATAGGCCTAAACTGTAACTCTAACTAAATAAAAGTCCAATTTAACAAATTTTGCTTGCATTCAAAATACTTTTATTTTCCTTGCACACAAACACAATTACATTTCTTTTTCATCACGTACAAACTATCAGTCATCCAGTGCTTAAGAGCAATCATTTAAGCAGCAATTTAAACATACTTTTCTATTAACAAAATAATTCTCATTTTTGCAGTATGGAAATAATAATATGCTTTCATTTATACCATTCGATTCAAGAACAACTTGACCAGACGAGTAATCTATTTATATTCGGATTCACACTCTTCAGGCATGCTATATAATTCGCACACACGCATTATGATTAATGACAGTAGAGAAGATACACAATACTCACTTAAAATTAAACATATTTATTTTTATTTATAATCCATTGCAAGCACCGCGCGTCAGCGTAACCTTTTCATAATAATTTCATACATGCGTACATTGTACATTTCCGTATTAGGTATGTATACATATTTGCACTTGTAAATGTATGTATATGAACCTGCAATATGCATACAGACTTTTTTTTTATTTTAACTATATTTATGTCCGTTGCGTTGTGTAAATTTTTCTATTTTTCTGTTAGTTTGTATCGTACGTCCCGCGTAAAGTAATTAATGATAGTCCTTATGTAGTTGTTTGTATTTATGTATGTATTGTATAAGTATAAAGTCTCAGTTCTCAGTATAAAATCAGTACCATATGTTTCGTTTCAATTAGTTTTGTTTTGATCTCTTTCAATGTCATTTTTGTTTTCTTCTAATTTGTTATTCTTTTTTTAAACATTTAATTCTTGATTTGCATTCTTACAAAACAGAATATTGTTTTACATTTTTCTGCTGCGCGTGGTGCTTTTTACACACATATTCACACATCAATCACATACATGCTCACTTTTACAGATGCATTCTGGTTTAAATTCATAGAACAGAACAACATACAATTTGATCTAAAAGTGTTCTTCATATTTGCACTTATATCAACCAATCACACTTATACATAGCATCTAATTTTGTATATGTATATTAATGAGAAAAACAGACCGACCATTAAATTTTACATTATTCACGATTCAAATTCATTTGTGAATCTGGAATGATATCAACACACACTCACGCACATTCATCAGTCATAGTCTTGCACACCCAAGCGCACATATTTTACAATGTGGATGTATATATAATATTTGTGCAGGATCAGTTAATTTGGGATTCGAAATATCTTCATTCTCTCTCTCTCAAATAAGCTTCCAATTAAAATACATCAGATTTCATCATCATTATCACACATGCTCACATGTTCATCAATCATCCAAAATGTGTTATCTGGAAAAAGATACGCAAAAGTTATCATTTCTATTTGCAAAACATTCAAAAGAAACTTACGTACGCCAATGTGTGATACATTTTCAATTGTCTTTCGACGTTTTGTTCTCAATCATAGGTCTCATACATGATGCAGCCTGGATTTTAAGCCGCCAGAACACATCAGCAAATTCCGTCCCCAGTGTTTTTAAGATTTCAAGTATTACTAATCTAATTATTTTGGCAATTCAAATTGAGTGTAAATAATTTAAATACGTAATTTATGACGAATCGTTATATAGATTGAAAGGTAAATTATTAAAGAATTATAACTGAACTGCAGGAATTTACTTTTGGACGGCAATTTGATAGTTAAAATCATTCAAAATAATAATATTGCAAGTTCATCTGGGTTATTTAATTTACTTTAACTGAATGCTAAACGCAAATTTGTATGTTTACTTTCAATCTATATTGAAAATTATTTAAATTTCTTAAATAGATCAGAGAGCTGTTAAAAGATCTTAAACGGGAATTTCTTACATAAATGTTTTGTTTTATTTTAAGTATTGAATAATTGCTGAGAAATCTGTTTTTTTTTTTTTTTTTTTTTTTTTGTACGGTTTACCGAGTGATCATGTGAATGACGAAAGATAAAACTGAGTTTAGTCATTAACAAATTCGTCGTGTCGTTATGTCCTAAACAGTCATTTACTTGTTCGTATGGTGTTTATATTCCTAAATGTAATGTATATGTATGTATGCATGTATGTAAAGTGAAGTAMTGTAGTGTTACCCTGGTCCGTTTTCGTTAGTTTAGTAGTGCTTTGTTTGTTTAAGTTCAATATGACGCTGCAGGTAGTTGTTCGGTTGTTACTGTATTCGTTTTTCATTTCATTTCACATTTGTTTCATATTGATTTCGTATTTAAAATTAATCGAAAATCAGGCGCTGGTCTGAATATTGGCTGAATAATATAAATGACAATTTTATGTTCTATATAAAAATTGAATCACTTTAAATTTATTGGTTTCCCTATATTGTGTTTTCATGATTGGGATTTGTTATTTATTATTATTGTTATTATATATTATAACAGATTGGCGCCCGTTTAAAATCTTTTTCTTTTGTTTTTTTTTTTTTTGTTTTTGGTGTTCATTAATTTGTGTTTGGTATATCGTCGATTTTGAAATTCGCTTATAGCTAGTCATTCGTCTTATTTATTGGAAATTTGCTTAATGATCTCTAGAAAAAACTTACATTTAGTAATATCACACAACACGCCACACTCGCGCGCATTTGAAGTGCTTTTATTTATAAGGAGTGGTTCTCGCTCATAACACTTCAATCACAAACCATATAGTTTCAGTTCAGACATCCACATACCTCAGATTCACACTGTAACTAGATATGGAGATTAGTAGCAATTAATAAAGCACTCATTTATAATCATTTCATACATTGTACACAGGCATTCATATGGCTCATTCATAAGTTATCATTCACACACAAATATTCTCATACTCGCATATTCCCGCACTCGCAGACTGACACAGTCACACACTTACACATTTGCTGCATTTTGAAGTACGTCATTTTATATACGTCAAGAACTAAGAGTTTCATTCCCGCAAATCAACTAATTGGTTGATTTTTGTTTTTTTTTTTTTTTCATTTACATAGGATTATCTTATAAATTATGTTGCAGCCGTAAGATAATTTGTATACAATATTGCTATGTAGTTTTAGATTTTTATCGGGTTTAATGTTATGTTATAAATTGATACCGATTTTTACCTTACATTACAATTTTATAGAGACATGATCATAATTTTGAATAACATTTTTTGCACTCCCTTTTGTTTTGTGTAATGTATATAATCGGATTCTCTTTGTGTCATACTGGAATCGTTGTGCTAATAAGCTGCTTAAATGTTAAGTTGTCATAATGCTTATGTAATCTATGTAGTTGGTTGGACTGTAATAACGCTGCTTAGGAAATATCAAATTTACTAATGATCTCACACAAAAATAACAATATAAATATCATAATCATAGCAGGATTTGGCTTACAATTTAATTAAAAAACAAAATTGTCTTAAACTTTAAGCGTCGCACAGCAACAATAAATCGGACAAACAAACTTGCAGATAGAATTTTCGAATTCGGACTGAACTGTAAAAAATGTGTTACAAAATGAATGTTGAGTGACATTATTTCTTGCGAGCAACAGTTTACTCACCAGTTTGGCTGCGTACACACATTGGGGTGGGAATAGATTAACACCTAAAAGCCCATTTTACTGGGCTATAACTTGACTGTTAATTTTCTTTATCTCCTTGGCCGCCCATGTACAGAGCATTTTGGTACGCTGACCCTTGGAACGCTTGCCTTCAGCCAGGAAATGTGTGATAACAACATCATCCAACAACGGGTAGAGACGTGGGCCAAATGATGTACATAAATCCCCAATGAATCCAGCGACACTTGCCACCATTAAGTCCGAAACTTCCCCGTCTTGGGCAATGCGCTTGATAAAGGAAATAATATGCATCAAATGAGGCTCCATATGGAACACGTCTGGATTGGCCGTTTGCTCAACTCCTTTTAGACCTTGAATTATACCGGTGTATGCCTCTAGAACGCTTTCCCGCAATTCATTTATGTATTCTGTCATGTGGTAGTTGCTGGAATCCACCTGTTAAAAAAAAAAAAGAAAAAAACAATTAATAGGAGTTCCAAAAAATAAGTAAGTCTGATTGATATTACCTGTAAATCGGACGCTGCCCGCAACATGTCCATAACTACATTTAGATATTTGAGAAAATCGCTCCCAATGCTTAGGGCCATATCGCCAAAGGCAGATAGAATCTGTGGTTTCACACTACGATGAAGATTGGGCTCGGAGAGATCGCTCATCAATACGGAAATGATTTCATCGCAGTAGGGTACCATTAGGTGCTTCAATGCGCGACAAATATCACTAGTTAGTCCGATCGAAGCACAGCAAACTTGATATTCTTGATGATTCTTGAGTCCCATGATAAGGAAATCTTTAAAGGCTGGCATGTATTTGACAAATTGAAAGCCCAGTAGTTCAACCAGCGTAGAGAGGGCCAGGAAGGCGTCCTCCTGAACACCTCCCGACTTTCCGGCACTTGAGCTGAACATTGTCAAGATTGCTGTCATAATGGCGTCTGAAATTTGTGGAGCATCCTCCTCGCGCACCTTGCGTAGCACGCTCTGCAGAGTGGCACAGAGCAGGGATTGTAGGTCATTAAACTGGTGCCGATCGCTGTGGTTGCTGATGTGACTCTCCATCTGCATAACTTGGTTAAGACGCTCTAAGATGACAATCGTAGTGTGCTGGACGACTAAATAACAATCCAGAGGAGAATTTTTTATCATATTCATCAAAGCCTCGTAGGCAGCACTGCGCAAATTGGCCTGTGCGCCATCTGAACGATCAGTTGCTTCCAACAATTGGGTGATAATAAACTCAAAGTATGGTGATAGCGCATACGTCTCTGGTGTGTCTCCTTCGGTGGTGACGGCTGCTTCGTAAGCAGCATCCGAAAGACCTATAAACGCCCAGCAAACATTGGCGGCCACACGTGGTTCTGACTTAAGACTCTTCACGAAGCACTCAAGCAATGTTTGTAAATAAGTTTTGTTTATAGCTGCTTCTGGAATTACCTAATAAGAAAAGAGTTTTGTCATTTACATATTTACATGCAATGTATATGTGTATATGTTATAACAAGTAAAACGATGCATTCGGGCGCTACCGACTGATTAATACATGGTCAAAATGTCGTTTAATCTTTTTTGGTAGCCGAGTCCGAAGGCAATATCCAGTCTGGAGCTATAGTTACAAAATTTGCTCTATATTTTTTATTCTCATATACCACGCTACAGGAGTCGGAAAGATATAGCTTTTTCGATTTCTATACAACACTTTATAGTTAGATCTGCTTTGGCACGCCTCTAGTGGACGTGGACTTGAACAGTTACTGACAAACTCAAAATCTCTAGGTTGTCAAGGGATTTATCAGATGCCGGAAATAGGATTTCCTGATTTGTCGTAATCAGAAAAGGGTTCAAAATTTTCAAGTCTAGTTTGAATAGCGGCGAATTGGTTTGCATTAATACGGACAGACCTACGGACACCACACAGCGCGGGAATGAGTAAATATTATCATTTATAGCAGTAATTGGCACTGTTGAAGCACGCGAAAGAAATCTATTACATATGAAAAACAATAAATAAAACTCAACTTACATCGCATATCCGTCCAAAAGTCCAAGCTGTTGTGTCGCGAACGATAACACTGGAATCGTACATAAGGCGTATAAGGGTGGGCATCGCCTGCTCAACAAGTGGTTTCAGCGTGTTGGGTTCTAAACCATTGAGCACTGCACCAAAAGTCATCACCGCAGCATCTCGGTAACGCCAATTGGGCGATTCAATATTTTCTTTAATAAACGGCAAGACATGCGGCACGATTTCGTCCTCGCAGCATGTAGCTAAAAGCATCAAGCATACTGAGGCAGCTTTAGCCGGACTCCAGTTATCTTCATCGTCGCATTCGTCCTGGTTAGTAAGTTTTTCAACTAGAACCGGTGTTAAAAACTGAAGAGCACCACGTGCATAATGTTTGGACACTCGTTGCGGCGCACGGCCCTGGTCGGTGGCCTCTTGGCTCTCAATGGCAAGATCGATTTCCTCATCGCTTACATTTGACCAAAACTCAATTCCCTGAAGAGCGATTGCATCATTTTCTGATTTCATGGCCTCCAAAGTAATTGGAAACAATGCTTGGGCCATGTAGGGCTCCATGAACTGGTAGTACAGCGACATGATCTTAACTAAACATTGCAAGGCAGCAACACATATCTGTGTGTCTGTGCACTGCGTTGCCTCACATACTACTTCCATGATAAAATTTCGCTCCATGTCCTTCTCAAAGTTTGCCTTAGTGAACTCTAATGAGTTGTAAAGCGCCGTCGTGGCAGCCAATCTTACATGATTACTGGGTTCCTGCTTGCGCATTCCATGTATGATAGCCGTAAGCACTTGATTGGATTGATTTTCAAGAACACCATATCGGATATCCTGGCAAATATAACCAATTGCCTCTAGCGCAGCTTCGCGGTGCATTTCGCTGGAGCCCTCATGGACAACCTTGTTGACAAGCGTCTGTATTAAAATGCCCCATCGATTGATCGGTAACTCAATGACAGCTACATAGGCAACGCATTGGGCAGCACATGATGGTCGAGTGTTTTCGGTTCCCAAAGCAGCAAGTATCTATGAATATATAGAATTAATTTAAACACTTTTGTTTCATGGTAAAGGTATTTGTTAGTACTAAATATTAAAACCAGAATGTTTCACAAGATCTGGTTAGGAAACTTATTTCGAATAAGCTATTAAATTAAGAAATTAATGCTTATTGATTGTGAAACATAAACTATAAAAATACAGAATAAGTTTATTGAACTGATCATTATATATAGCTCGAACAATTTCTTACATTATTTTTTATAAGTTCGCGGGCTTCGTCAGGAAACTGATGCCAGCGCTCCTGATACTGAAGACTGATCTTCTCATCCTTGCTAGTTAAGTGATTTTTCAATTGAAGACCAGCTGCCATGCGCGCTACAGCGCTATTTGTTGTATCAACTAGAATTTTGGACAGCGCCTTTAAAAATTCAGTCAGATTACTGGCGGCAGCCTGTTCCAGGAAGTTCTTCGCCGAAAGCAATTCATTTTTGTCTGCGAAAAGTAAGTAAATTTGAGGTTAGGGTAGCTGAATCACTCATAAATAAATATGCAAAAACAATTGTGTATTACTTTTGATTAGTTTATAAAGTAAAATTTAT